CACGCGCCACCATGCCCAGCTAATTTTTTGTAGTTTTTTAGTAGAGACGGGGTTTCACCATGTTGACCAGGATGGTCTCGATCTCTTGACCTCGTGATCCACCCGCCTCGGCCACCCAAAGTGCTGGGATTACAGGCTTGAGCCACCGCGCCCGGCTCCTGGGAGTTTTCTAAACTCGCTCTGCAAAGGGTTGCCCAGGGTCTACGCAGCAGGCTTCCTGCACTTCCACAGGCCCACGACAGCCCTGGAAGTCTTAGATCTAAGTGTGGCCTGGCTGTGCCTGTTGTCAGACCTCTCAGCTCGGCAAACTCCTCCATCTGTCAAATGCGGACGCTGGTTTTTCTTGCCCACTTCACGGAGCGGTTTGAGTGCTAGATGCTCTGTAGGCCTGTGAGCCATCACTGGCTTTATTACTATGTCCTTTGCAGCAGCTATGTCCCCAGTTGACTCAGATTCAGTCCCAGACGGATTAAAATCTTCAAATGCTTTGCATATCAGTGGCTGACCAGCCGGTAGCCCCACCCCCAGCCTGCCAGCCTCCATTGCTAAATCATGCAGTGGGTGTTTCTTTACGAAATTAGAAAGAAAAATCTCAGCTCCTCCAGCCCACTGGCTCTCCCGTCTCTATATCATGGTTGCTCCTCTGGCCTAGGCTGGCCACCTACTCTGGCCACCCGGTGAGTCATCCTGCCACTCTTACAGGCTGACGAGATGCTGGGCCTCACAGATGGGCCTCATGGCCGAGTGCCAGGATGTCCAATAATGTTTCTTTCACTCAACAGCACCAGCTGATCTGTAGTGGGGGGCCGCCCAGAGTGTTGCATTGAGGAACATTCTGAGCTGTGCCTGGGCTGAACAAGACAGCATGCTGTGATCGACTAGCAATGCCTGCCATGGATGTAGGAATGGCTAGGGATGGCATCTGTGCCAAGTATTTGCCATTTCCAGCCTCGTGTTTCCCTGCCCCCATGAAGCAAGAAGCTGGTTAGACTTTTGGTGGCGGGCTCCCCTGACTGATCTTGGGAATTGAGTGCTCCATCAAATGGCTAATTTTCTATCCACAACCGTGTTGCCACCTACAGCTGCACTAATACAGTAGCCACTAGCCACATGTGGCTTGTTACATTTACATTAATTCTAACTAAATTAAATCAAAAATTTAGCATCTCAGTTGTATGAGCCACACGGCTCATGGCTACCATATTATAGAGCACAGACATGGAGGATTTCTATCATCGCAGAAAGTTCTGTTGGACAGGACTGGACTAGACCCATAGTTCTCACCAAGTGGCGACGATGCTTGCCAACGGACATTTTTGGCAATATCTTAGAGACATCTGGGGTTGTCACAACTGGAGAGGAGGGCTGCTGGCATTTGCTGGGTCAAGGGTGGGGATGCTGCTAACAGTTTTTCAAAGCACGTGACAGGTCCATATATGCAACCCAAATATCAACAGCATCTACGCCGACACTGGTCTAGAACCCTGGTCCGGAAGAATCATGACAAATGGGAAGGAGCATCAAGAGAAAAAGGGGGCAACATCATCTTTGCTTCGAATAATAACTAGATGTAACAGACGAAGAACTGAGAAAATGAGCCATCCACTGTTGGCAGAAAAGCAAGTCACTAAACCTCTCTGATGCCCAGTTTCCTCCTCTATAAAAGTGGGACTGTATCACTCCCCTGCCTTGATCGTCAGTGGATTAAATTAGTAACGAATGTGAAAAAGCTTTCTTATCTGTCCCTGTGAATACAATTTATTATCTCAACAGATGTTGTTTATTCCATTAGGTTGAACAGTCTAGTCTCTAGCACAAAGATATTGAGTCCTGCTTTTATTTCACCTTGCATAACTTGGGGTCACTCCAGACTCCAAATCTTACTTCCTGGCTTCTAAAATGGGGCTAAGAACTCACGCCCAAGCTCACGGGAATATTAAGCATGAGTGAGACATTTAATCCCATCAAGCTACCATCTCTCCTCCACACAACAATTAATCCAGCTGCCCTGGATTAACTCAAATTGAAACTCAAACTCCAGCTGGTACCCAAGAAACAGCTGAAAATGCATTCAGTCTTTTACGGGCAGAGAAAAATTCACTTGAGACCCCGAACCTTGAAATTCCTGCTACCCTACACATGAGCACTGGCCACGTGGTAAAGTCACTTTGCCAATTCCTGAGGATCTTTCCTCTGTTGCCAGACACTGCAATTCTTACAAGTAAATCAGCATCAGGGAGAAACACGTGAAAAATGGAGCAGACAGGGAAAATTAAGAAGCTGGGTGAGTCATGACCTGGGAGAGGGGAGATTCAGATGAAGATAATGGTGTCTCTGGATCCTTCACACTGAATGTGTGTGTGTGTGTGTGTGTGTGTGTGTGTGTGTGTGAATGCACGTGTGTGTATGTTAGAGAAAGAAATCTACCTTGGTGTCCAAAGCCCTTGTTTGTGTAACAAAGTTTATTTTCTGCCAGGTGCAGTGGTTCCACACCTGTAATCCACACTCTTTGGGAGGTTGAGGAGGGTGAATCACTTGAGCTCACAAGTTCGAGACCAGCGTGGGCAACATGGTGACTCCCCATCTCTACAAAAAGTACAAAACTTAACGAGGCATAGTGTTGCTCTCCTGTAGTCCTGGCTACTCAGGAGGCTGAGATGGGAGGATGGCTTAAACCGGGAGGCAGAGGTTGCAGTGAGCCAAGACTGTGCCCCTGCACTCCAGCCCGGGTGATGAAGCCAGCCCTTGTCTCGAAATAAAAATAAAATAGAATGCAATTTATTTTTGTTGCCCCATTCAAGCTAGAGCTGAGGTTTAATCTTTCCTTAAGGTCTTCATGGTGGGGTAATACGGTGGATTTTGTTTATTAATTATTATTATTATTATTATTTTGAGACGAAGTTTCACTCTTGTTGCCCAGGCTGGAGTGCAATGGCACGACCTCAGCTCACCGCAACCTCCGCCTCCCAGGTTCAAACGATTCTCGTGCCTTAGCCTCCTGAGTAGCTGGGACTACAGGCATGCGCCACCACACCCGGCTAATATTGTATTTTTAGTACAGATGGGGTTTCTCCATGTTGGTGAGGCTGGTCTCGAACTCCTGACCTCAGGTGATCCGCCTGCCTTGGCCTCCCAAAGTGCTGGGATTACAGGCGTGAGCCACCGCGCCCGGCCCCCCTCAGGTTTTAGGAGAAACTGAGTTCCAACTGGGGAGAGGACTCACCCAAGGTCACAGAGCCCAAACAGCACATTCAAGGTGATGAGACCTGGAGGCAGGTGACAGCAATTATCTGTTGATTGGTAACATGCAGCCCTTCAAAAGCCAGGGGACCAGAAACTCCCTCTCCTCCGCTTCCTCCTTCTTCCTCCTCCCTCCTCCACCCCTTGGCCTCTGGGCCTTCTCCTTTGCCATTCTTCTCCTTCTTTTCTTCCTCCTCCTTCTCCCTCTCCTCCGCCTTTTCCTTTTCTTTCTCTCCTCCTCACTGTTATTTTCTAGAGCTCACCCATAGCCTAATCGGACATAGACCCCCTCTGTTTTCTGTTCCCATGGTACACACTGGACATGGTACCCAGACACGGGAGAATACAACGTAGGTCAGCAACGGACACAGCGCCCAAGGGGACCACCATCATTATTGGACTCCAGAAGCCCTCGTGGGTCGCTCAGCCTCCATGAGCTGGTGCACTGAATGAGGCGGCATCTTTTTGAACAACCGCAAAGTGAAAGTAACAGCCTCGTTTTCCAGGCCCTACGGGATAAAAGTCAAGACTGCCGCACCTGCGGGTTGAGGCCAGGCTGGGCAGCTGACTGGGACTGCCTGGGCTCCCCACTCCTGGCCTCCTCCACGGGAAAGCTGCAGGAAGGCAGCAGCCTAGAGGCCTGTAGCTGGTGAGGTCTTCTCCTCTCCTGGGAGGGAGCTCCACGTCAAAGCATAGCCCCCTTCTGCCCCGCTGTGGGGCCATTGAGACCTGTGAATCTTCTTCATTCAAAGAAATGCCTGCTAACGGGGTGCCAGATACGACACCTTCCCTGAGACAGAGCTCCAGGAAGGCGGCATCACATTGAAACCTTCAGCCATGAACTTCCATTACCCTTCCCCCAACATCACACATGCTTAATCTGCAGTTTAAAAGAGAACGCTGAAATTGACGTTTCTACTCAACAGAGTTGGCAACATGAAAGGGGAAGATGGGCTCTCCTGACGGTAACCCAACACCAGTTAAGCAGAAACCACTGGGGGTTGAGGAAAAATAGAAACCCTGACGTCTGCCGGCAAAGATTCACAGTGGAGATTAACTCATGACCCTAAACGCGTTTTTAAAAATTATTAGCGAAGAGCTTGGTCCTGAGGAGAGGGACTTTTAAAAATGTTCACTTGCCCCAGCATTTTCGAAACACTCTCGTTTTCAAATTGAGCAGCACGGGCATCCAGCAAAGGCATCAGGCCTCCGAAGCTCTCGACAGCAGAAAGGCCCAAAATAGACCAAAACCCGGAGGCCCTGCCACCGCAGCCCCCAACAGCACATTCCTGAAAATTCAGACTTGCCCATCGGCTCGCGAGGTGCCCATCGAAAACCCAGCCCAACAGTACCTTCTGCAAAGAGGACACAGATCTCAGGAACCACGACTGCCTAAGACGTCGCCCCGGGTGGCCACAAAGGGAACCCACCAGCCCAGGAAAGCAGGAGCGAAGGAGCACCCCTCCACACACACAGACACATGTCCCTTCCCTTACCGCCCCTCCCCGACCCGTCCTCCCCCCACCCTTCTTCTGGGCCAATGTGATAGCAGCAGCTGAGTCGACCAGTCATTTCTAAAATTAGCTTGTGAGCTCCAGGTCTGGCCAGGAGACGGCAGCCCAGGGTGGCCGTGGACCAGGCAGCCGAGACCATGGACATATTTGGTGGCCCCCGAGCAGGGAAGGGGACAGCTCCGGACACAAGCACATGCTCTCTCGTCACCCCTGTCCCAGAGCAGGCCACACACCCACACTCCCACCTCTGCCCACACAGATAACCGAGGCTGCAGGAACTGGGTGAGGAGGAGAACTGGCGGATTCTACATGCCAGGCAGACTCTGGAAGAAAAGAAAATAACTTGAATGAATGCTGGTGCCTTTTGGTAAACAACCAGTGCATGTAAATAGACCTAATGTCTAGGTAGTGATGATCACATCCCAGGCACCCAGGGCTTTCACAAACTCACTTCACATTCCCTGTGAAGTGGGGTTTTTCCCCAGCCCCACTTTACGAGTGGGGAAACTTAGGCACAAAAAAACTTAAGCAGCTGAGCTCGGTGGCTCATGCCTGTAATCCCAACACTGGGAGGCCGAGGCAGGCAGATCGCCTGGGGTCAGGAGTTCGAGACCAGCCTTACCAATATGGTGAAATCCTGTCTCTACTAAAAATACAAAAAAATTTAGCCAGACATGGTGGCGGGCATCTGTAATCTCAGCTACTAGGGAGGCTGAGACAGGAGAATTGCTTGAACCCAGGAGGCGGAGGTTGCAGTGAGCTGGGATTGCACCACAGCACTCCAGCCCAGGTGACAAGAATGAAACTATACTTTG